TCGCGATGGTGGATTCAATTTTTAGAGTACGACTGCGATATCCAATATCGTCCTGGTGAGAAGATGGTACATGTGGACGCATTAAGCAGGGGAGCAACGCTGGAGGAGCAGGGAACAACGCACGTGTTAGATGTATTGCCTGTGAAAGTTGACGACTGGATTGCAACGGTCCAATCGGCTGACGATGAAGTCAAACGCATTAAGGATATCATACAGGACCCCGAAACTCCAAAAATTGCCGCGATTCACAAGGAATACCGGGTTAAAAATGGACGAGTATTCCGTGTCATTGAAAATGAGGAGTTAAGATGGCTAGTTCCTAGGGGTGTACGTTGGCAGGTTCTCAAAGCCAATCATGATGACGTGGGCCATTTTGGTTTTGAGAAGACATTGCAGCGAATTAAGTCTTCGTTCTGGTTCCCAAAAATGCGAAAGTTTGTCAGGAAATACGTAATGGCATGCCTGGAATGTGCACATCACAAGGTCCCTTCAGGAGCTAAGGAGGGATCTTTGCACCCAATCCCGAAGGTAGATATTCCCCTACATACGCTGCACGCTGACCATCTAGGGCCCTTTCCGAAGAGCAAGAAAGGAAATTCATACATCCTTGTCATCATAGATGCTTTCACGAAATTCGTTTATCTATCAGCCGTTCGAAGCACGAAATCTAAGGCAACTATAAAAGTATTTAGAACATATATTAGTCTATTCGGGTCCCCAAAGCGCCTCATTACCGATCGTGGGACTAGCTTTACTAGTAAGAGGTTCAAAAAGTTTGTGCAATCGATCGGAACGAAACACATTCTCAACGCAGTAGCAACTCCCCGCGCCAACGGCCAGGTTGAACGGTGTAATCGTACAATTTTAGCGTCGTTAGGTAGTATGACTCACGGAAAGGCGGATGATATGTGGGATACTTTATTACCAGACGTACAGTTAGGTATCAACACCGCGGTACATGATGTTACAAAGAGAACACCTACCGAACTGTTATTCGGACACAAGATAGGTAATCCTTCAGTCGGAATCTTAAACAATATTTCAGAAGATATAAACGAGTACTCGAAGGCGGAAGACATTCATAGTATGAGAGCGAGTGCAAGTCAGCGAATAGAACACATTCAAGAAAAGAGTAAGGACCGGTTTGATAAACATCGTAAAGTAGCAACTAAGTATAAAATAGATGATTTAGTTAGGGTAATAAGAAACGTTATAGGAGGTACAGGAAAATCAAAAAAATTAGAACCCAAATGCCAAGGGCCATACCGAATCAAAAGTGTACTCCCTAACGATCGATATCTCATTGTTGATACGCCGATTACGCGGAAGGGTAGGCCATATGAAAATGTAGTGTCCGTGGATAAAATATTCCCTTGGATGAATTTTGATGCCCCTGCTTGTTCCTCAAGTGACGATAGTGACAACTAATTTTAATGATTTGAAGATAAACATGATTGTTATTGATTATATTAGAATTCGATAATGTAGAGATGTCATAAGAGAAGTAGTGATTGTCTACATGACTCAGAGCTTGAGCGGACGTGAGCCGAGCATGAGAGTTATGAATGGCAAACCTCATCAATTGGGTAGTGAAAGAATAGAAGTAACTATCCTTTGATGAGCTATAGTGATGCGACTCAACTGGATAGTGAAAGAATAGAAGTAACTATCCTTTGATGAGCTATAGTGATGCGACTCAACTGGATAGTGAAAGAATAGAAGTAACTATCCTTTGACGAGCTACAGTGAGATTATGATAGCGATAGTGATTGTTTGATGAGATCTAGGTATGTATCTATATTTGTAGTGAAACAACAAAAGTAGCACTCCTCGCATATATCATTTACTTTGTGAATTAGAATAATTGTAACGTACAGATCTGATTGTAAGAAACTTGTTAGACTTGTAAGTTATTATTTTGTGATCGGTATTTAGTAATTTGATTGAAAACGTTATTGTTACAATAGGTACGCAAAATAATTTGTATTATAAATTGTATTTTTTCTTGAGTTATGAACGAAGGGACTCGTTACTGTGACGGATGGCCGACTGTAACGTTCAATCGATTAATCGACTTATAGTAGTTATGTCACGTCATCAGTTTTGACAGTTGAGCCTGTGTTGTCTATGAGCGAGCGAGCGGGCAAGCGGGCATTCGAATTTTGGCGCCAAGCGTGGCAGTGTGACACCCGTATTGTAAAAATACTAATTAATAAAAGTTTGTGTTCCACCAATTGTCGTCTTTTGTTGAAGATTTCCCTGAGCTGTGTTTCATATGAATATATTTTTAAACACCTATTTTATTTGTATCATTGTCATTGCTATTCTGATTAGCAGCGTGCTGTCGTGTTGATGCGGACCGGCGAACGTCGTGTGTGTGATAGTGCTATTTTCAAAGATGAACTGTGCTCCGGTTTCTCTGTAGTTCGAAAAAGTTCTCCAAGACACTTCCAAGAGATGGAGACGTTCAAAAGTGGTACATTTGAAATAAATAACTAGACTTTGACTTGGACTATGGTGTCACTATCTATCGGTAGTTACCTAAGTTATGTTGACGTTGAATTGTTTAGACAGGTTAAGACAAAAATAGTCTGAATCGCTTATAAAATATAACTACGTATGCATACTAACAATGTCAAAGAATGCTTCCATATAAACTCTGTGTTTAAATAAGTAATAAAAAAAATAAAGAAACTTTTGATGCCAGAAGTAAGTATTCATTAGTTCTGAGAAGTTGAGTAGGTACCTAACTAGGTACTTACTGATTATAAGTTTGATATATTCTCTATTAATTTCAGAAGAACATTATTTAAGTAGGGTAGAGACTAAAAATGTACTCGTCACACGATTCTTCTTTCAACTAGATAAAGTATACAAAAGGATTTGCAACGCCTGGAAAAGGTCGTTAAGCGGTGCCTGTTATTTTCATTAAAACCTTTGTACCTCTATAACCTAAACATGCAAATAGAGAATGGAATTGAAATGGATGATTCTACTTTCGAAAGTCCGTCATAGTTAATCAATTCTGGTCTACGACCAGAGATTCTTCTTTTAATTCAAATGCACAAATCTAGGTAGTTCCTTATTAACAGCTGCAACTCCTCGCCCTACCTGAGAAAGCTTTGATGATTTTCACTTCACAGCAAAAAGAGTTACCTTATTGCGGTTATCTAACCAAACCTACTCCCTTGGCACTATGTTAGGTATATTCTGTATAGCACGCTACAAGTATTGCAGAGAGTTATTAACTGGGTGTCCAATGTCGCGGCTCAGTATTGCCCCAGTACAATAGCGCGCTGACGCCCGCCGCCGCCGCCGCCGTCAGCTGTTGTGCCCCACACTGCATTAGACGTAGACACACTGTGCCATTGTGCTGCCACTATTATTGCATGTACTGACTGCTTCACTGACTCACTGGCTAGTAGTTATCTGACTTCCACTAGTAAACTGACGGAAATGGGAATGTATAAGTTCAAAATTTATTACAAGCGTAACGTTCGTAAAACAAAATACGCTTTTATACTGTTGTTAATTATTATTATGTAATAGGTTGATAAACTAGCTGACGGATTAACTGATGGTGACTGAACTTTGCGTTGCCGACCTTTTAGATAGGGATTAGGGAGGGATTGGGGGAGGGCAAGGATCGGGACCCCGGTAACCTCACTCACACGGCAAAACAGAACTCTGAACTGAGGTTGTTCCACGCCAATTTTCTGTGAGGCCGTGGTATCACTCCCGTCGAGCCGACCTATTCATGCCGAAGCATAGTTCTTCCACACTTATAAGTGACAATAATTTAGAAATGAATATTCTAATGAAATGCATTAATTATTCAGGTAGCATGACCTCTGTAGAGTAACGAAAAGGATTTAGAAATGAGTCCCCCAGACACCGGCGAAATCTTCAAGTAGGTATTCAATTTTACAAAAAAAACCTTATATTTGCATTCATTTCATTCATTCATCAGCCAATTACTGTCAATAAATCCCTAGCTGTCAAGTTGACATATAATTTGACAGTTTGTCACAAGATGTCACTGCTGCCTCCCGTATGAACGCGGCAATCAGTCGGCGCGGCCTGTTGATGGATTTAAAACCTAATCATATTGGAAAATGATTGGAATTACCTCGCACGTGGCGGTGAAATATGAGATCCTATAATATTCCATTAAGCAAATAGGATTTATTTATTGTACCTATCCTGTAATAAATACCTAGATTAATTCCAGTACCTTGTATTATAGTCCTTCAGTAGATTGTTTAAAAATGAATAAAAAATAAGAATATTATCAAAAATAAAATATATTTCGATTCGTAACAAAAACTTACAAATATTTTTTACAAACATTTTAACTTAATTAAGTAGATTTAAAAAAGCTAGCGATCCTAATACTACCTCAGTGTAGGCAGTGACGCCGTAGCTACCTGTACAATTATGTCTTGAATGTGTAGGTAGTGGAAAGTTTGAAGTCGCACAGAACATTGTCCGTCCACGTACCCATTATTAAATTTCATAATACACTTGTCACTTGATAAATTCATCTCACTCGGAGAATTTAGTATTGAGCAAAATGTATTTCGATTTGATAGAAAATTAAAAGTTATTCATTGGACGCTTGGAAAAGTTTCGAACTCAACTTGTGAGCGGCAAGTGAGAAGGACTCCAGATAACTTTGTCGATAGGAAGTCAGAGTTACTGGGAAATAGATTAGTTAGTTTGTTTTCTATCACTAGTTGTTATTGTGTGTGGCAATACGATGGCGGGAACGTGCATTTTTTATCCACCATATCATTTATTTGTTTGGTAGAGTTTGACATAGACTAAAGTTAGAAACTCCTGCAATCAAGTTATGATATCTTTTAGACTATGCACTGTCTATATTGTCTATGGTGTAGACACTGGGATTCGTCACGGTTAAAGTTGTAGAGGGTAAAAATATTTGAATGCATAATTTTTATCCAATGAATTTCATGTCGTTGGTCGGCAAGCGAGTATCTTAATTACCTGATGGTAAGCATTCGGTGTCGCCCATGAACACTACACTAGTAATACCAAAGGACTTACTACAAGTGCGTTGCCGGCCTCTTTCGTGTTGTTGGGGGTTTACGAAACTAAAAACAACGTAAGTGTTGCTTCACGCCGGTTTTCTGTGAAGCCGTGGTATCACTCCGATCGAGTCAGCCCATTCGAGCTTGACTCTCCCACACTTAATAATATTGTAAAAATAATTAAATATGTAGGTATGTAGAAACAGTCGTGCGTTTGTCATTTTTATACCTAAGGCTATCATCGATAGATTTACCTTTATCAAAAATCTATAAAAGACTAAGAGACTAGGAAGGTTAGAGTTGCTGTCGTCTATAGATAAGTACGGCCGTTGTGATGACTCGGTCAGCCCAGTAGGCCGCAGGTGATGATGTTGAAGCAGCTCCTGGTGGTCGGCTTGTCATCAGGTTTCGCAGCCACCACCCGCTTCTTCTTCTTACCATTGGCATCGTATCGTTTCTCTTCCTGGAATTTAGGAAATTTTTGTAGTGAATAATCTTAATCTTCTATCATTATAAGGTTTGTTTTTTGTACGCCTTAATCTCCGAAACTACTGGTACGAATTGAACGATTCTATTTGTGCTTGTAGTCAATTAATCGAGGAAGCTTATCATGATACGATCCCTAGGAGCCAAGTTGCGGATGAAACCGTGCGAGAGTAGCTAGTTGAAAATACACACTTAAGTTAATCTTAATGAATGGAAGTGGTCTTTTCTATAAAGTGTAGAATAATTAAATTTGCTGTAGGTTATAAAATAACGATCATGACCCTCTATCCCCAAACCCTTATCCTCAAATCTTTGGCCCATAAAAGGCCCACAAGACACTTGTAACTTCTCTAGTGGTATTGGGTGCTGAATGATTCCCACTGAATGATTCCCACTAGGTGACACGACTACCTCATTTTCAGCCTTATTTCATATAAAAGTGGTTATCAATAATTCGTGATAAACAAAGTGAAATTGAATTGTTCTGTAAGGTAAAATCAGTAATATATACGTGAAATAGAACAGATTTCAATCCAGTCAGAATAAAGACAGGCTCTATCAAGATCTAAGTGTCGTCTCGTCGCCTCGTATAAACTGTGTGAAACAACTAATCTTAGTAAAACAGACGGCTGTTATCGCTCACTCATTGTGTTTCATTCACTCGCGAATGAACGGTATTTGTCAATAGACTGTAGAGTCTGTTGTTAGACAGTCCGCTTTGTAAGATTGCAATAATGATACCTATTGATACATTTCTGTTCTGTGGATATTTTATAAGCAATTATTAATTTAAATGTCAATTTGCATTTTACATATCGAATTATTTTTTATTGCCCTTAGGTGGGACGAAAGCAAGGGTCAGACTCTTACTTACTGACTAAAAAAAACGAATGGGACCTCGGTATAATATTGTGTTTGAATCCCGGCTGAATCGTAAAGAAACGCTTGATATTATGTCTCAGTAAAAATATATGAAGAAGTATTTTTGAAAATTTATACACCCACTCATAACTTCACTTTTCTGTTACCTTACTTGGCAATCACGTTTTTAACTACACATTATGTAAGAAGTGAGTACTTATATAATCGAGTTATAGTAACACATATAACAGAATTACCAGCACCCTAAGACCGGGTACGTAATACTCTGATTCCATTACTACATACACATATCGATAACTCATACATTCACTACAGCAACAAAGCAATGAACATAATAACAATACTTATTTGAAATAGTTTCATTTCGTACACGACTTTAACCAACTTTGCTTTCAAGAAAACCCGGTAATAGCCTCGCAGAATAGCTCATTATAGCCGCGAGCTCCACTCTCTGCGGCGATATAGCCGCCGAACACCGAACTCTACTTGGCGAGCTAACGAACTACTTATGCTATTGAGCACAATTAGGTACTATACTTAGGAATAATTTAGATTGATTAGCAACAAATCTTGTATGGTATCAATAATGTTGGAAAAAGGAGGCCCTGTAAGGCTGTAAAGTAACAAACGCTTTTTTTTGTCAGGAGAAAATCATAAAAATTAAATGACTTCTCCCGCCAGAGAAAGGCGAGAGAGAGTGTCAGACTCTTGCTGACTAAAAACGTCTCTGTTCCTTCTCCTGCTCTGGGCCGAGGCCGCGGTGACTCATTGCGCTTACCCCGCAACCCCGGCTGAACATCAGCCCTATAGGCCCCCTCTGTGGTGGTCTATTGGCTAAGGTAATACACGCTAACACTTTCGTTATCATCTTCATCATCATCTGCTGAAATCAAAGACCTGTTCAAAAAGAAGGATTGAATATGAATTATCACACTAGCTCAAAGCGGATTGACAATTTCAAACTTATTATTTGATATAATAGGTCCAGGTTTCATCGTGACGTTTTCCTACACCTTTTGTCAGGGTGTCTACATAAAATAAATCGAAAAAATCAGATTAGTACTTGACAGATTTCGAATAGACTTCACCCAGGCCCACACCCGCTAATTTATTGGAATAATCTAAGTTATCCAAACTTTAATATTATAAATGCGAAAGTAACTCTGTCTGTCTTTTCTTCACGCCTAAACTAGAGAATCGATTTCTATGAAATTTGGTACAGTCGTACAGATATAGTTTTTTTATTTTATTTTTTTTATTTAATATGTCGGCAAACGAGCAGACGGATTACCTGATGGTAAGCAATCAGCGCCGCCCATGGACACTCGCAACGGAGGAGTTACGAGTGCGTTGCCGACCTTTTAGGGATTAGGGATTTGGAGATTTAGGGATTTAGGAGGGATTGGGGCAGGGGATGGATTGGGCCTCCGGTAACCTCACTCACACGGCGAAACACAACGCTGTAGTTATTTCACGCCGGTTTTCTGTGAGGCCGTGGTATCACTCCGGTCAAGCCGACCCATTCATGCCGAAGCATGGCTCTCCCAAGTTTGGAATTCGACAAAGGACATAGGATAGTTTTTATACCAAAAATCAGCAGGAAGTCACTTTTCCACGCGAACGGAATCGCGGGTAAAAGCTAGTTGAAAATAATATGACGAAATTAAATGCTCAAATATTGAAAAAAAACAAATGAAACCGAAAAGAACGCAATCAATTTAGGGATCTTAAGCCGTTGTACTTTATCGTAGCCATATATATTTTGGGTGCAATCTGATATAAATGTACAAAGATAATTATTTTATACTTTATTAACGATCAATTAACATTCTCAGTGATTAAGCAAAATTGGTCTGCTGATGTTATTATTCAAATTTTGCACTATTTCGATACTTAATGTCATTTATAGACTATAATAGTATCCAACCGTCACAGTTTCAAATAATTAAAATAATCTTTGCATTAAAATTAATTAAAATGAGTTGACTGCACAGGATAAAAATTGTTAAGGTTAAGAGGAATTTTGATCTCAATTATTAAATTATTCACCGTGTTGTTAATTGTTGATAAACTGGATTTTTGTAAATGTGAGAGCCCTGTAACTTATTATAATTGAGTTAGACTTATAGACTTATAGTATATTGGTACTTGTGTCAGTTGGGAGTTGTCATGCTCACTCAGGAGTCTCATTGGCGGTGGCACGGGCACTGGACCGCTCGGTTCCCTATAATATGGTTGAGTTGGGCGGTGCTGGTGTACGTGTCATGTTCGTGAACGGACGCCGCCTATTGGGACTGGTCAACTCGAGACCTGTCTAAGTTGCTGTCCCTGAGGGTTATTTCTTTTTCGGATCCTTTGGTTAAACACTAGTGTTACACTGTTCTCACATAATGGAACTATCTAAATAATGTAACAATGCATTGTAAAAAGTGATTGAAAAAGAGTAACCATGGAGTTTCTTGCTCGTTCTTCTCCATAGGAATCTACACTTTGGAACGAGCAAATAGCTTCACTAGAGGACAGACGGACAGACTGACACATAAAGTTAAACCTTATGATATCTTTTTTGCTTGACGTTCAAAAGTGCCTTTTTTGGTCTATTTGAAATAAAGAATTTGATTTGATTTGATTGATGATTTGATTTGATTTGAGTTGCGTAGAGTTTCTGTCGAAATAATAAATTATTATTTTGAGTCTTTCAATTTTAAATAAATTAGAATCTTTAAGTTACGAAGACTGCGTTTAATCAGGCACAAGCTTGATTTTAACCTCATTACTATAAAAATAAGATTAGAACAACATTTTTTTATTTACGGTATTTTTCGCTTTTACACGTGTAAGCATACATGCGACGAATTGCTATGTAATAATAGTAACAATCAGTTTTAGCCGGAAATTATAATGTATCGATAATATAAATATGCTAAGACGATAACAAAGACAATACGTGTATCACTATCTATATAAGTACAATATTCATTAATCAAATATTATATTATTACGTGTAATGCACACGTAATAATATAATATTTACGAATATATGTTAGTCGACCATGATCTAATCATCATCATAATTTCGCCAGTCATCACAGATACTAATGACACGTACACAGATTATCTTTATCAATAAAACTAAGGCATTAATGTTATCTTTCACAATAATAATGTCCACTAAATGTTTTGGTAATAAGACAGATTTTTTTTTAAATAAAACCTCAGTCAATTTGGACTTAACGGGGTAAAGTTAGGTAGATAATATCGTGGACCGTGGATTAGGTGCGGGATAGCTTTTTATCCCGTAAGATATGTGGGGTCTGTTTTCGAACACAGGTGGTCTGGTTGGAGAACGGTTCTCCTTATCAAATAACATATTGAGACAATAATTGACTCTTTGTACACAGATTTTGTTGTTAAAGAAGGTAGATAAACGTAACTTCACTTAATACTGATGCTAAGTTTTAAGGTCGAAAAAAACTTGTCCATGGCACGCCTTATTGTACAGTTTAATATTAAGATAAGAATCTTGAAAACATTTAAAGTTGTAGCGGCATTTCACGCCGCGGTTTTCTTCGAAATTCTGCACCATATTAAATCCGAAAATCCGTGGAATTGAAATATTTTTAAATAGTACACTTATCTTAAACATAAAACCGTTTAACTTAAAAAGTTTTTTTACCTATTTTTATTTGTGATTTAATGTAAAGCGGTCCTATAATCAGATTTTTTATTATTATCTTAGTTGAAATTTTTGCATTAGTCATCCTAGGTATATTATTTTGTTTCATTTATATACTTTTAGTAACTGTGTCTGTGAATTTGGTTCTGTATTGTAGGTACTAGTAAATAAATAGATAATATTAAGAAACACTATAAGTAGGATGGAAAAGGTTTGTATCGGGGAGTTGAATTATAACCGTGCTGTTGGACGTTTGCATTCCATTTATCTCCTCAAATTTATTACAGGTTCTCATATAAAAAATATTAGGTAGTTGGCGTTCAAAACCTCAATAGAGTTTAAAATTAGTCTTGAGACCAGTACCTATTGAGTCGTACTGTAGACTTCTGTTTTCTCTAATTTGTAGTTCTAGATACTTACCTCAACAATCTCTCCGATCTTATATTTGACGAGGATCTGGCGCGCGTCGGACGAGTGGCCGACGTCATCGAACGAGCGCGACGCGTCTTTCCCAGCATCCTCCAGTATCGTGTCCGTGCCGCCCGGGTGCTGGAAGAGGGCGCGAATTAATTAGGAACCTGCGTGGGAAAATGCTCATATAGTATAAGAAAACATAGTTTAATAGTAAGGAGCGGTATGCTATGGTTTTTTAATGCAATAGGACGTCAAACGTGCCGACAGATTACCTGATAGTAAGCAATCAGCGCCGCCCATAGACACTTGCAACAACGGAGGATTACGAGTACGTAGCCACCCTTTTGGGCATTAAGGTTTTGGAGATTTAGGAATCGGGGAAGGATTGCGGGACGGTAAAGATGGTGCCTCCGTTTACCTCACGCACACGGCAAAACACAACGCTGTTGTTGTTTCACGCCGGTTTTCTGTAAGGCCGCGGTATCACTCCGGTCGAGGCGTGATTGTCCCACACTTTAAATTTCAGGTAGCACAATAATTATAAAGCAAGTAATGCTGAATGGTGATCGTCATTTCATTATCATCAAATAACAAAAATTCTACTGCCAAACATAGCCCTCCTTCAAAGAAGGGTCAGGTTATATCCTCGATCCTGTAGCACTGTGCTTACCTCGTCGATGTACTTGGTGAGATCATACACAGAGTCCTTGTAGACGATCCACAGCGGCTGGCCGTTGCTGCCGTCGCGTGAGGACACCTCCGCGAATGTGTAGCGCTTCACTTCACTCATTCTTGAGTCTCTGGAACACATAACATACAAATATAGAAAACGTGGCTTATCAGCAAATGATTTTCCTAATGACAAACCCTCGCAACGTCTTTCACTCAGCACCAGAGACATCTCAGAGGAGCCCTCTTGATGCCTCTGATGCTAAAGGCCTGCCTCGTTTAATGAAATTGTGGCTTGATAGTAAAAACTATCATCAACACGATTTTCGCGGCTATTTTTTAATTATGCCGAATTGTTTTAATGGGTCTATCGGAAAGCCACTTAAAACTCTCAAAAGTGTTAAGATAAGCATAGAGCGCCATCCCTGGTGTTCCCACTCGTCGCGGAGTTTCCATAGTTCTATTAAGTATCTCGACATCCTCGATAATATTCTTATTTTCTACTTTATGCTTGTTCAAATCCATAATTAGGCCGATTATATTGATATACTCCCAATATATTATGATACCTATATGATTTGTTACACGGGCTTTATGAAACTGTACAATATCTTCACTGTAAATATCCGAAGTCATCACTATACAACATAAAGTGTTTACTATCGTCCGATAGCGAATACATGATTGACGAAATTGTAGGAAATTATCAGAGGGTAGTTAAAGAATTACGAGTATTGTAATTACTAGATAATTATATGTATAAATAATTAGTCGGATTACAGAAGTTTTGTGTTCCTCTCGGAGGTAAAGCTGATAGCAGTATCTAAGTGTCGCGTCAATAATCTTCAGTTACGTATATTATCAAATTGTCTGATATTCACAGATAAACACAAATTAGGTAATGATATGGTAAGTTATTATCCACTACTCGATATTTCCCGCCATTAGGGACAAACATTATTTGCATGTGTAACAATTTTGAGTGACGATAGTCGAGTGGTTGAACAAGTGGTCTCAGGTTCGATGATAGACACCGGCTTATTCCCTCAAGCGTGTTGTGTATAGCGGGAGAAGTAACGGATGTGTTTTAGTAAGTAAGAGTCTGACAATCCCCCTCGCCTCACCCTGGGCGAGCGAAGTTATTTGACAATTTACCCCTCACAAAAAGGGGTATATTTAATACAGAATCTGCCTACCACTTCCAAGGCTAAAAACCACGATGTTATACACGCGTAGTGTATTTAATGATCTAGTTTATTGGCGAGGTAACCTTTAGTAATCCTACCCTGGTACCCAGGCCACCCAGCGAGCCACCAAAATTAAATAACCAGAATGGATTTCATAGTCTATCCGAACTGACCTTTTGGCAAAGGGTGAGTCGAACAAAGGTAAATTATTTAAATATCAGTAAAGCTGCTACGCATTACACATGTCACAATATTATCTGAAAATTTAGAGGTTCAACTGAAGTCACGCTTTGGCTCTACCGAAGAACCGACAGACAGACATAAATACCCCTTTTTAATTATATATCCATCAACCATAAGTACAAGTGTTCTCACATATTCGAACAAAGAATCTGTACGTAAAACTGATTGAAAAAGAGTAACCATGGAGTTTCTTGCTCGTTCTTCTCCATCGGAATTTACACTTTTTAACGAACAAATAGCTTCACTAAGAGGGCTGACCAGTACTTTTAATCTTTAAGCTTTTTTGAAGTTCAAAAGTGGCTGTAATTAGAACCAATTGAAATAAATGATGTAGACTTTTTTTAATGGAAATTACAGTTACATAATTAACACGTTAACCGCCGCGTAGGTCACCGGTGACCTACGGTAGCGGAGGATTTGCCTTCAATAGTTTTCGGTCGGCAGTCAAAGGCTTAACTAAGTTTCAATTTAAAAAATACAAAATAAAATCTATAAGTTATCTATTGCAATAAGTGCGTTAATTGTATTTACTTGTTTCCAAAATTCTGGTTTGATTTGAAACCTTATCTTTAAACGGTTAAAAAATAAATTCAAATACAATATTATTTATAATCTGAGCAGTAGGTAATCTGGTAGCCATCAATCAAGATCAGTATTGCCAATTAAAGAACTTATTTTGATTACGTGCAGAAATAATTGCTTGGTAAAACCCACCTTTAATGTAACATAAATTAAAGACAAGTCAAATTGATAAGCGTGCACTACACTTATCAATTTGACTGAACGGTTGGTGCGGTGGCTTGGCAACTGACTGCCGTGCAATGTGTCGCGGATTCGATTCGCGCACGAAACAACGCTTTGTGTCATCCACAAAATGTTTTTTCGGGTTTGGGTGTCATATGTATGTAAAATTGTATGTTTGTTGCCGCAACCCACAATAACCACGGCACAGGAGAAAATCATAGTGTAAGGCAACGTTTTTTATAAATGTGAAATGAATATTTATAAGACTTAAAAAAAAGAAACAAGAAATTAAATCCTTCCGAGCAACTAAATGCAACTATAACTACCTACTGTTCGATAGTCACACTTTCTATTCTCAGAATCACGATGACATAAATAATATCTCATAATTAGATTCTTTCTGAACGGCAATAAGAGGTTTTAATGATAAAAAAATCGGAAGCGGAAAAGAATCAGTGATGTATGTTCAATGAATGCGACGCGCTCGCTACTCAGTATGTATAATTAAGAGTCCCGCTGTGACTTGAAACTAGTCGAGCTTTTCTCGGTATTTTTCAGTTAATTCATGTGAGTGTATCGTTATCTTTAATACATTTATTATGTCTCGCTATAGTGATGAATGCAATCAGGAAATCAAAGTTACAAAAACTAATAATTTTTCATAAACATTGAAAATTTGAATTTAACGTTGTATTTTCTTTGGAATAATTTAAATTGATTGAAACCAACTTTTTACCGCTTTAAAATTTGCAATTTCACAAATAATTTATCTATGAATGAAATAAAAAATTGAAACAAAAACTAAAAAAATGATAAATTCATTTGAAAACTCATAGTAATTTATGTACTAGGAAATAAGCCTATAGCTGATAAGCAATTAATTCGGCACTTACTTGTGAACACGTCTGTCAACCGGAGACTCTGTGTGATAACTATCCACTCGCGATAGTTTCGGCAATGATAGCCCTGATAGCCGTGATAGCAATGATAGCGGCTATCGAGGCGACGTCTAATGCACGCCGCACCAGGTGACGTCAGCTAGTACAGGAGGGCAGTTGCTTTGAGAGTATTTGTTGAGGTACACTGTGAACTGAGGAAGTGAATTCCTGAACTTTATAATTATCCTTAAGAAAACAGAGTCTTTGTTTACAAAAGTCCGATAGTTCAGGTACTAAAATTGTTCTGTTCTGGTGTTGTGAGTGTTTGTGGGCGACACTGATTCTTACTCGTTTTCCCTGGCGTAACTTCTTGGCTTGGCCTTTCAAAAATAAATGCTTTTTATACTTGCATAACTGCATTACAGTGCAGTTAACCCCGTTGCTGTCCTTATCGACAGGACAATCTGTGTATTGAATTAAACAACGACCTCATACGAGTGTAAAGCTGGAACTAAATTTCTCCACTATTTAATGGATGTTATTATTCATGTAAACCTCATTATACAATTACTCTATCTATTAAAACCAACTATTTCAATATCCGTTGCGTAGTTTTAAATATTTAATCGCACATAGGAATATAGGGACAGAGAAAGTGACTTTTTTCGGCAGTCGGCAAACGAGCAGGCGGATTACCTGATGGTAAGCAATCAGCGTCGCCCATGGACACTCGCAACGGAGGAGTTACGAGTGCGTTGCCGACCTTTTAGGGATTAGGGATTTGGAGATTTAGGGATTAAGGAGGGATTGGGGGAGGGGAAGGTTTGGGCCTCCGGTAACCTCACTCACACGGCGAAACACAACGCTGTGGTTGTTTCACGCCGGTCTTCTGTGAGGCCGTGGTATCACTCCGGTCGAGCCGACCCATTCGTGCCGAAGCATGGCTCTCCCACACTTAAACTTTGTTTAATATTATTTCAAGAGTTGTAGTTTTAATAATAGGTAAAGAAAATGATATAATTTGTAATTTCTTACCCCGGGGTACAATAAGGTTTTATAGATCTTCATTCAGAAAAAAATGTATGTAGGCTGAAGATAGTGATAAAAATTTCCTCAATAAAAACTGTTTTTTGCTTCAGATCTTGACGGATTTGATAAGCAATCAAGATAACAGAGGTATAAAACCTAACGTAGTTACATTCTTAACAGCTATTCGTATACCATAGTTTATTGACCTAGGCCTCCGCCGGCCACACTTACAGTGAAGGCCTAGGTCCTATCTTCATGTTCTATTTACTATGTAGTACATAGTTTAACAACATACGTGTCTGATAGTAAATGCACACTTGCACGTATCGGAGATATAGTTTATTTACTACCCGCAGACAGTCGCAGGAGATCGTGGTTCATTACTAAACAATGTTGCCTGATAAGACCATTGTGTATCTATTTTCTATATATGTATATGGGTTTTTGGTTGTAAGTGCTTTAAGTCTTTAGTTGTGGCCAGGAGGCTAGGGCTCCTCGAGCAAGCCAAGGTAATGTTTCGAAACCTGGCAAGCAGATAACGCATATTATGTACTTCACTACATAGTATAAAACAAAGTCGCTTTCTCTGTCCCTATATCCCTAGGCATACTTAAATCTTTAAAACTTTTTTTAATAGATAGAGAGATTAAAGATGTACCGGGTGTAAATAGACACTTAACGAAGCCGAAACTTGTGCCAACCTAGGTGCGGTTCGCTAGATCTGAGAACAAATTAGAGACTACCAACATACGACCAATAAAAACGTAGTAAGTAATTACAAATTCAAAAATTTTTAATTGCTTATTGATGATTCGAAGAAAGTATCGGCTTTCGGACCTTTAAATTATCCCAACTATATGTATGTTCATGCGAAAGCCAGTTTACTTCTACACGGTTTTCCTACTCAAATGTACTTGATATTTAACATTTTGCCGTTGAAAAAATGGGAAATCAATTATACATTTCTTGCTTACGAAATTTGTGAAGAAAGTCTAAGTAGTTAAGTTATAGTTCTTAATTACATGCAGCTAGCTTTTTTGTGAGGGGAAAATCATACTGTAACTTCTCCCGCCTAGGATCAGGCAGGAGGGACTATTACTGACTAAAAACTACCCTAGTTCCTTCTCCTGTTCAGAGCCGAGATCGCGGTGCCTATTGCGCACCCGCAACCCCGGCTGAACATCAGCCCTATACGGCCCCGTCTGTGGTGGTCTATTGGCTCTTTAAGGCGAGCGCGGAACGCCGTACGCTCTGGTTCTGGTCGGGCGACGAGCTACCCTTACTCGCCGACCGCAGACCTGCGCCTACGGTGGCCGGAGATCGTCTCTCGATTTACATGCAGCTAAGAATGTAAAACGCGAATGACCCACCAGGAAAATCTTTTTCTAAATAATAGGTGTAAAGATATCGAGTATTATAATACGATTGTGAGTACTGCTGGCTACAGTTATCTACATCGTTGTAACGATTACCTGTCAAACATACTGTTCTACTTGTTATGAAAAATATCTATGTTTAAAAGTAAAAAAAATTTTGCTAAAATAAGCAAAAATAAAACTATTTTTAATGAGCACCATAAATATTAGGTTCTGGCTTGCAAACTACTAACTAATTACAAGTAACGTATCTATAAGACTTGTTGCCAACCCTCATTTAACTAGAAAATACTCATGATTCATATAAAATAATTAATTAAAAAGCACAGACACACACGTGCTATGTATAGCAGCCGCTAAATTGAATGGTATTTCATAAAATGTACATATTTATTAATTATTTTACATTTCATCAACTGATTGTCGCGGTATCTCGTAATTCACGCATGAGGAAATACAAAATGGCCGCCGCAATGTGGCCAAATCAATAAAATAGCAAATTGTATGTCAGTTACATCAGTATTTACTATCGGACACTATTATCATATCATCCTGTTGTCATTTCAATCAATCAGATCGGTATGTGATAATAGATAACAACACGCTCACTATTTCACCGCGGGATGTGCAGGGTTCTTTGATAATAATGCTATTTGCATGTTTAGTCGTAACTCGCTACGAAAGTAATAGAAAGTTAATTATGTTAAAGTTTGAGTACTCTTGTGACTCTGGCAAATACAACTCGACCAGTTTCGAGCCATGCTAGGGGCTTATTCATGAGCAGCGGAGTGTATATATATCATCTTTATTTCTCCAAGCGATAAGCAGAAGTGTTATTGTTAAATTAAACATGAATAAAATATACTCATAACTTTTTTACTGAAATTAAAGTAATAAAGTAAAATATTTCAGTAATATTTAACTAGAAACACAATCAAGACAAGTTTAGCAAGTTACGCTTGTACTCAACCATCTAGCTAGACAGTAAACAATTCTGTATAAAATAAATAATCCTAAAAATGTTTGTGTACATATCTTAAATCAATCTTTGTGACGGGAGCCGGCGGTACAGGTAATGAAGTAATCACCATTCTGTAGAGGATCAATCAATTAATGGCGTCGCGGCGCTCCATAGATTGTAAGTTAATCTCGGCCTCGGCCGGCTGCCACCTACGGGTGTACACCCACAGTACAGGCCCAGGCGACACCCACGCTGCCCCTCACCCGTAAATACCAGGTGTACCCAAGTTTATTCGAATAAAGTTACTTTTCCTCTAAAAGTCATACTGCGACTCATATTACGGCGGTATTCAAAATGTTTATACTCTGCAGTTTATAAATATTTTTCAAGGATTTTTCATTTAAAGTTTCGGTCAAAGGCGTTGGCTTTGACTGTGACGAGTTGGTTCGGAGATTAGTTTACTTGCAGCTTGCATATTTTGCTAGTAGTGGCTAGAGTCACTATCTATATAAGAGTACCTACTGAAATGCATAAAAAAATATTTATTATTGTATATTAATGACGTCCAAGTACTTTGTTCACATTGAGGGAATCTTTAAAAGCGTTTTTCGTATATCGTCAATTTGGAACGAACCTAGCTAGCAGCTAACTAACACCTAGCTTCATTGACGAACAGACAGACTATTTTATTTTGAATACTTGTTTATGGTTTGATTGGAATAAATGATTTTCACTTTGACTTTGATTCTATGCAAAACTGTACAACTCTTTTTCTAAACAGTTATTGTCATCGTAAGTAAATTAATAGGTACAATACAATATGCGTTAATCTTTCATACAGCCTTCTGTTGTAATTCACAGTGACTGAAGCTGCTGTAGGAATCAAGATACACTAGCGATTGTTCCTACCAAACGAGTTTAGCTGGACGCAAAGCACGTTTCACATCACTAGTAAGCGAACAGCTTAAATCTAGCTTTACGAAATAAGTCCTTTAGAAATCATTACTAAATAGTTTTATATTGTCTACGGCAGAGAAGAATGTACTTCTTTAAACATTGTTGCCCCACCTGCATCGTGAGTGCGTTTAAAAAGAAACAACTTCACATACATATCACACCTAGACCCGGTCCGGAACAAAATTTGTGCAGCATACAATGATGTTCCGATACCAACTACCTTTATTCTTTGCGTGGGTGAGGAAAGAGTCAACTGAGGGGCTGGTTGTTAAACAAAGACCGCCACCATCACTCTCTGATAAACCTGAATCTTTCAAACTGTGATCTGAAATCTGAACTCTTTGAGAGTGGAGATTATACAAAAAACAAAATAAAATCATAATTAAAATTAAACATTCATATACCTATATTTTTTTAAAGAGTATGTATTTGTTTAGTTATTATTGATCAGCCTAACAATAGCTACTGTCACTGTCAAAAAACTTCAAAGAGGTTCCACATGTAGATATTTAGCTTGTTGTCAATGTCATAGGTTCTTTTTTGTAGGTATGAATGGGTGTCTGTTAATCTTTTACGTAAAAACGGATATGAATGAAAGGCATGGAGATAAATTACAGTCTGAAATAACACATAGGCTCTTTGTACCCTGGTAATGAAGGCGAAACCAATGGCAGAAGCTAGTATTAATACAATATCACGATACTAATTCCCGGAACAGTTGGATAATGATATTTAATTAAACAACTTTTCACCAAATTTCGTGCTCGCTCGGGAGCGAAACTATTATACTTACTAGTTTGTATATGAATTCCA